GTCGTAATTAAAAATAACAAAACGTAATATTATAAATCTAACACCAATATGAGACCTCAAAGCTTTTACCTTCTTACCGCTATTTTCATGTTTTTCTACATGACATTTGTTCCGGTCATTGAAGGTAAAGTTCTTACATTCGGTATTTTCTCCATGTTCTTTTTCTAATAATTCGACATTTTGGTTTGATATATAGCATATAGTGTCGGCGTAGATTTAGATATGAATGCTGGTGCTTGTAGAATTTGGATAGAAGATTCAAATAATAACCGCATAGCTGGTGACGGAAAAGGAGATTACCATGCTTGTGATGGAACTGCTGGTAGTAACTTTCAAGAAATTGATTTTTCAGATCAAGAGTACTATGTAGTTGCGAAAGTTCATTTTTCTGCTAGGGAACAGAAAGTCCGAGGTTCTTTCAATGAAAATACCTGTTTTCGTATACATGGAAATTCTGCAAAGTTTTATTTTGATCAATATGACTGTGATTCTTAATTGTTATTATGTCATTAAGTTATTATCCCATCGGTATTACAGTATATTGAAGACGTGAATCAATTAAATTATTTCTCTAGTTTCTATTATTTCTATATATTCTTATGTATTATACTTTTTATTTTTATTACGAACTAAAACATTAAATAATAATAAGATAACTTTATTAAAATTCAAAAGCATGCTTATTAATTAATGATAAAGCGACCGCCAATAAAATTATTCTTTCTTTATAATCAATATGTAAAATAAAAAATTATATTACTTGGAAGACTACAAAAAAGAATTCATGAATATTTTTTACACCGCAATTTTTTATTATTATAAATGTTAATTTTAGAGAAATGTATCCCACATTTTTCCCAAATCAAATTATGAAAAATGTAACTTTGGATTGAGTATATAGTATTGATTATAATACATTTATAAATCGCAAAATTTTTAAATTTTAATTAGTTTTATTATTGATAATAAAATATAATAATTTTGATTCAAAAAAAAATATCATTCAAAAACGAAATTATTGAACAATTTGAATTAGAAAGGAGTGTATTAATTGTAATTTGTTCAAAATTTTTTTAGAAAAAAGTTCATTTTAAATTTATTTAGCATTTCAAAAGTTTTAAAGTTATAAAAACAAAGTAATACTACTAAAAGTAAATAATTTTATTCCTTATTTATCTAGTAATTTATCTCGTCGTTTATTAATCTTATTTTTTTTTTACTTACTTTTTCGTGAATAAATGTTTTCAAATGGAATGGACGATTCGGTGAAATGTTTCGATGATTTGATTTCGGTAAAATGATTTCGGAGAAATGTACCTAACCTTGATTGTTGATAAATACTTACTGTAAAATGTAAATGAATTTCTATTTTTGTATCGCATAAATATTCGCATAAGTTCCATATGCCGGAATTAATTTCAATGACAAGTATAGTAAATGCCCCGAAGAGCACAATACTAAAAAAACTCAGATCTGATTTGCATAAACACTAGGGAAAATCATGCAAATGATCAATTATTTCGCATGATTGCCAAGAAAAAACGTAAGCCCTTTCTTTTTTTATTATTCTCCCAAAGTCTTATTATTATTAATCGGGTCAATTTTCTTTCTAATTCGTCCATTTACGGTTGACTAAAGTATCCCCAATGTATCGTATCCTCCCTTTTTAACCAAAAAAAAAGGCACATTTTCTCCTGATTTTCATTATTTAAATATTATAATTTGCCTAGGTATTGCACGTAAATATTTTTCTGATTATTATACAAGTTTTAATAAAAAAAAAATCGAGTAATATAGTACATGGTAGACAAGGTTAACCCCCTGAAATTTGTATTATACCCGGATTTTTTATTTATGCGGGTTTTTTGTAATTAATTAAATTTACTTGTTTTAATATCAATTTATCCAACAATGAATTCATTTAATTTATTAATAAATGCAAAGAACGCAAATATATTCCCAGTGAAAAGTCATCATATGAAAATTGTACAATTTTTATTTAGTTTTTGCAATTTCATTCAGTAATCGTACAGTTGAATCAAATTTTATTTTTTTTTTTTGTAAAATTTAAATATAAGATTTATTATATTTAATAAACAGAAATTGTACAATTTTTATATTTTAAATTTGTAACTATTTATTATATTATATTCATTTAAACAAAATTCGTACAATTTTTTCAATATTTTTTAAATTCATATGAAACTTATAAATTTGTACTAATTTGTAGAATAAATCTGTAATTAATTATTCATCGCTTCATCTACTTTTTGTCAACAATTTTTGTGTAGTTGAAAAAATAATTATATTGATCTTCAGACTACTTTCGTAATGATTTTCGCGTAGTTAAAAAAATAATATAACTATATTGATCTTCATTCTACCTTTATCAATAATTTCACGTAGTTAAAAAATAATTATATTGACAAAAATACTAACTGCTTACATACTGCTATTTTATAATTTATCTGAAAATCTTCGCATGTTAGGCTAATTTCAAATCATTTCAAAAACAATTAGTAGAGAATAAATAAAAAAACTAATCAATAAATTCATGTACTAAATAACATTTATAAACTTATTCATATGATTAATAAACAATGTGATATCAATTAATACACGACATCAATCGCGTCGCGTCATTTATATACTAAAGCATGTGATACCGTGATTATAACTATAATTCAATTTTAGATATGCTGCTTGAACTATAGTTTCTTCATTCGAAAAATTTTAGTTTCTTCAAAAACTTTTGTGAGTATACTGTATTTATTGGTTTAAACCAAAAGTAAATAAATAACATGTACTTTTCTTATTACAAATAAAAAAAGAAAGTTACTAAAATAAAATGAAGATACGTACTTCCAATACACTACTGAGCAATAACGTACAATAAAATCCATCAAAAAACTTTGGAAACACAAATATGATGGAAAGCTCAACTTCACCAAACACTAAAGATTTTGTATAGTTCTACCAGAAAATGTTCCTAAAAAATTATTTCATCTGATAAATAAAGATCTTCAGTCTCAAAACTAATTCACAAATACAGTGGGTGCGTTCACAAATTCAATTAGAGGCGATGGCTCAATCCGATCTATATTCACAAATTATAATTAGATTGTGCCAAACCACCAGATTGGATTTTACTATTAAATTTCCAATCCAGGGTATACGATTGAATATACCATACTACTACCCATCCTACCTACCACTATATGTTACTCCTTATTGACCCCTATGACATAAATTTTTTTTAAAAATTTTTTTTCTTTTTCTTTTATTAAAACGCGTAAGATACGTAAGATAGTAGTATCAAAATGTGATATAAAATCAAAAATCTACTCCTTTAATATGTGAACACGGATTAGATTTTTGGTCCAATCCAATGGATTGGCGATCCAATCCAAATCCAATCAAATTGAATTTGTGAACGCACCCAGTAATACTCCTCCTTACACATCCAATAAAAACAAAACACAAATAATCCAAAATCCTTACACGTTTTTTGGTTATAACTTAAAAAATGAGAGGTACATTTACAGTAATGTATAAAAACAATTTGGGAGTTGACTTTCACATTCTTGGAAACTGCAATTCCAAACCAAGTGTCCAAAGATGAACCGGAAATTCTTAGCAGAAAACCATTAAAAGTCAGAGACACAATATCATCCAATTTTGAAAGAGACTCAATAGCTCATTTTGCGGTTAAAAATTTCTTGAGTGGAAATCTTGCTTAAAAAAAGATACTTTAAATAGATCAATAATAATAAAATATTATAATACTCTTATAATCACGGTGAATTTTCTCCCTTGCTATTTTTATTGTTAACCTTTTATTTACTAGTCAATATAATTCTTTTACGTTATGTATTCCGAAAAAGAAACGCGAAATACGTGAGTTATACAAACATACAATAAACACAATTATTTATGAAAAATTGGTATATAAACTTAATCTTTCCGATGCTCTCGTCCGTGTTTAATGTACACTATTGTGACATTTTTTATTTTATAATATGAAATACATCCAATATACACATATATCAATATTAATGAACTTTAAGTTCTGACTATCGGCACACGTATTTTTTTAGGCGTTGAGACAATATAGTACATAAGAATCGGGTGATAACGAGATTTCATTAAAAAGGAAATCAACAAAATGCAACTTGACTATCTCTTATCGACTATATAACTTCTTATATGGTCCAGAAAAGGCAATTCATTACGCTGGTCAATACGTTCAATTCCGCGTGTAAATACATTTCTTTAGTTCTGCATCTATACATACGTATTAGTCTTATATTTAACACAGGATCTTTCAAACATGCTTCCTTGAAATTTTTTGACAATGCCATTCCATGGTAATATTTGAAGCTTCCAGCAACATACAGTTTACTTTGCCATTGCCTGATTTTTTTTTCTTTTTATTAACCTGCTTTTTATAAAAAAAATATTAAAAATATTGTAACATTTGCTCGTAGGAGTGTCATAGGTAACCCGATCATAGTGACGCTAATCTAATTAGTCAAAATCGCAACTAAAATACATATCAATCAAATTATATCAAATATCGGTAACAAAATAAGTAAAGAATTTCATATAATTCCGCAGTAAGTTCAATAACAAAATTTAAAAAGTTCACTTTTCAGTGCTTATAATAAATGTGTTTATTTTTTCAACATAAAGACAGATAGTTTCAAAAAGTAAACTTAATTTCATTAAAACAGTTCTCAATCAATAGAAATTTATTCATAACGTTATATTTTTTAATTATTTTTGCCTTTCTTATAATTTCAATAATTTCAATAATTTCATTAAAAGAAAATTGTTTCACGTGATTAAAAATTTCCTGATATGGACAATCCATCAATTAAATACAAAAAAAAGTAAGAATTAAGTATACTATATTACATATAAAATTTTGCAGTTTTTAGCATAAAAATTATTTTGAACTACACTGGTTTACAATAAAATAATTGTAAAATTTAGATTTTCTAAGTTAATAAGGAGAATATAACGTCAGCACTCTAATATTCCAAGAAAATCATTCCTAAATTTCTTTGAGTTGAAGGTATAAACATTTTTTTATGTACTATATTATATACCTAAGTACTTTATAATTTATATCTTTAATTATACAATCTTCCAATTCTTCACTTACTAGCATTTCATTCACTTTTGCACTAGCTTGTGAATTTCTACTTTCAAGAATTTCATTCAATTTTTTACTAGTAAAATCGAGTGAGTGACTCGTATAACAAGCCTGTGGATGAGCCACTCCCTAAGTTCAGTCATTTGGGTTGGACAATTGATATCATACATTTAACAAAAATTGTTCTTTATTTTATTCCTTTTAAATTTATTTACTAAGGTTAGAGTAGTAAAATATTTTAAAGATTCTTAGTTTGTAATTTAAATAATTTCTTTTTTTTTAATATTTTAGTCAAATATTATTCTTTTCTTAGAATTATTTAAACACCAAGACCAATAGTAAATATTTTACAACTTTCTTAGTTTGTAATTTAAATAATCTTTTTTTTAAAAAACTTTTCCCAATTATTAAAATATAAAATAATAAGTATATAAACCATTTCCAAATGTATAAATCAAAAATATTTTTTGTCAACATAGGAACAAGATATCTACTGGATTATATGATGCATTAGTTATTTTCTTGATAAACCAAAGTTTGCTAACTTTATTCTATTTTGATGATGTATAAGTACATTTTATACATACTAAAATGAATATATATTAGTTTATTATTTGATGTAAATGCAATAAATTATTATGTTACCAAATCACTAAATAATTCACTAATTATGCAAGTTGGAGTGTTAATTTATATTTATCATTCCATTTGAGTTTATTAAAATTCTCTTTTAAATAGGATTGTAGCCGGGCACGGACTCAAGAATACCAGATGAATTTTGATGTTTAATGTTTAATTCAAGTATTCTTAAATATGATAAATTAATTGCTTTAAAAATATTAAGTTCGTCTATTAACAATTTCATAAATGCGTTATTTGTAGAGCACATGACAGTTATCAAATTACTTAACTAAAAATTTTTTATTACTAGTATGTTTAGGTTTATTTATTGTAGAATATTGAATTGACAAATTTACAAGGATTTCATTATTCGCTAAGAAACAAAAAATCGTACTATTATGGTCTGCTGCTCCCATGCAAAAAATTTAAAAATAATTAAGATTACTTATACATTACCTAAGGAATGATGTCAAATAATACTTTATATAATTGGTCTCAAAATAAGCTTTTCTCTTTAAAATAAACGTTAAAGTGATCAATGTGTTACTGCAATCAGGAAACAATAATACATTTGGTTGCAATTCGTATTATTTGAGTATAAGAATATCTTAGAGCTCATACAATAATGTAGCGCAGCAAATTATCGAGAGGCAAAAACTATCGCAGTTGTTACAAAATATTTCTGATTTTTAAACCTGCCAATCAAATGCATATAATAAAATAAGGAAAAGAAGTTTATTATTATTATCGAAATTACGAAGAAGAAATAGTCGAAAAATAAGAATTTTGAAAACTCGAGATTTAAAAATTTACGATTTCGTCATTTTTATTTTTTAAAGTTATTTTTTAAATAAGTCGCCCTCGTATTTTTTTTCTAAAAAAAAATCGTGTATTTTCCGTCGTATAAAATTTATACTTTCGTCTCTTTCGCTCGGTATAATCGTCGTATTTCCATATAAAATATTAAATAAAACTAATGCCGAAATTGCCGATATTAAAAAGGATAGTAAGATTCTCGTACTTGAAGGCGTTCATATGAGTCTTCAGGTCATGAGAAAAGGATCTTTTGGGTCCCAAAAAATACGTCATAATCAGCTTTATATACAATTAATTCATCAAAGAACTAAAGAGCTACGTAAAATAATAAATTTTCTTACCTTTTGATACGAGAATATTGACTACTATCAGGTCAAGCCTGAAGACTTTTACTTATGAAACGCACTAAATGAACAACAGGGGAGAGAATGTAAAAATCATTCAACTCCCCCTACTATAGGAAAATGATTTTTTTTAGTACGCCCTCAACTTTATTTTCTAGGTTTCTCAATAGCATTTTCTTCATATATAAATTTTGATCAACCAAAAATGATGCGCTGAAAAATTTCTATATTTGAAACATTTTAAACTTTGCACAAAAATTTCTCTCTTACTAAAAATATTAAATATATGATTTTTGACGAGGTCAAAATTCTCTCTTAATAAAATTCTGTAAATATTTTATTAATTATAAAATATTTAGATTAAAATCTTTCTATTTATAAAAAGAATTAAATTTCTTTTTTCTTTTTTTTTTGTAACTACAGTATATGAGTTACTATGAGCAATAGTCATATCGGAGTTTTTTAGAATTTTCCCCAGAAAATTTTTGTTATAAACAATGCACTAGTGAATGTTTGTGACAGAACCAATTAGCAAACAATCCTCAATTCGGAGACACCTGAAGCATTCAAAACTCACAAGAAATTCCATTATTTCAAGTTGTTGTTTTCACTTCATCCAGATTTTGTAAATTTTTTGTATTCATATGAAATTTGTTAAAATTAACTTTTTGTATATAATATGTATTTGATAACAAATTATAGAACAATAATATAGAGAATTTTTAAGTAAAAATCTCTTTATAATAAAATTAAATTTTTATTGTTTTTAAAATTATAGAATAATAATATACAAGAATTTTTAAGTAAAAATCTTTTATAATAAAATTAAATGTTTTATTGAAAAATATGATAAAAGCGTGGGACGTGAAAAAATTTACATTGGTTTTTTTAATTTAATTATAATTTTGCTAAAACTAAGTTTGTGCATCACTTTTTTTGATTTAAAAGATACAGTAAAAGGTTTGGATAACGATAACAAAAATTCAGACGAAAGTGATATTGATAGTGATAATAATATTAACGTTGATAATACTATAATTAATAAGAGGTGTAATATTCATTATTTATGTTCGTTTAATTTTTGTGAAAAAAGTTTTATTTTGAATTTTATTTTGTTTAAAAAGATTTTCATCTCAACAAACCATTACTTTAAAATTCTACCTAACTAGTATTTTCTCATTATATTTTTTTGAATAGGAAAGAATGATATGATCATTTGTTTTATTTTTATTTGAATATAATTTTGTCTGTACGAAAATTTCTCTTTACTTATAATTAGTTAGTTCTGCTACCAGTGCTGTTAAGCTTTAGATTACATTTCTCAATTTTAACTTTCATTCATTCAACTTTTTTCAAAGTCGAAAATCAATATTTCTTTCATGATATAAATCATGAATTCATGATTTAATTTTATAGAAAATTCATTAATATAAACACTTTAAAAAAATTATACACATATTTAAAAATTTGTTAACAAATTATGATTCAAATTTTTATTATTAAAATAACATAGAGACAATGACAAATTTGGGAGCTGAGTCCTTACAAATGAAACTACTACATACCAGTATAAACCCAACCCTCGCGAGGATCGTCCTGCCTATTATTTAAAGAAAAATGACCAGCATTGTCAGAAAAAGAAAACGAAAAAGAAACCAAATTTAAAGAAACAGAAAAAAAAGAAAAGAAATCTATAAATTGTCTATTGTCATTAAAATAATCCAAATAAGAAGTATAATGTAAAAACGATGTCCATCCACCCGAGTGTAAATAATTCGATGTGATAAGGACCATCCATAACGTATTCGGAGTAATGCTAAATAGGAGCGCGTGATCAGGAGCCGTATGGAGCGAGTCAGGACGTGTTACTAAAGCGTTGGTAGATTGTCTGTGTATTTGTTGATCACGTTGATTTCGTTTATGTCGTTCGTAATTGGCATTTTTTACGTTTAGCGATATTGATGGAACGTTCCCAATCATATAGGGCTTGATTGTGTCGAGTCCAAATTTCTTGGTAAAATTGTTGTTAGAGAGATGTGATGAAATCAAACATCACCTGTCGCATCAGCGAGTATTTGTTCGTGTAGGAATGTATTAAATCCATAAGATTTTGGAGATTAATTCATTGATGAAGAATCAAATATAGATCGTGTGTCTGATCTCTGACTTCTGTAAAAAGGTCAACTAGATAAACGAAGTCCGTCGCTTATTAAGTAACTACAGTAATTATACAGTATATCACGTGTTATAAAGTTACGAATAAATAAAATACAAAATATTAAAATGGGAATTTAGAACTGCGCTCCGGACATATAAATTACAAGATAAATTAAAAATTAAAATAAAAATAAAAAATTAAATTAATTCATTTTGTAAATCGTTAAGAGATTTATAAGCACCAGGTCAGTAAAAAAGAGGAATTATTCCGTTCTTCAGTTATGTTCATCGGAAGTAATAAAAAGAACAATTGTAGAGTAAAAACTTTTTTCAAAGTGAACTTGCGTTTTACATGATAGAGCATGAGTCGGTAGGATTATCCGGTTTTTCAGTTACTTCAGAAATGATAATAACAACTGGTTTTGGTACTGGTGATTGGATTCATTTTGATTCGATTTGTTTTTTAAATTATTAGTCTTTGACTTTTTGTGGAGTTTTTTTATTTCATAAACAAACGAATATCTAAAATAATACTAAAATTCTAATCCGATTATCTCGATACCTCTTTTTCGTAAAACAATCCTTATTTTAAATGATAGTATAATATACAGAAGTTTTTTTTTTCCGTTTTTATTATTTGATGCAATTACAATTACTATTGCGTTTTAATAAATTACCAATCAAAAATAAATAGTCCCATTTCTAAAAAGTTTTCAAAGACGTAAGCCGGGTGTCATTCTAAATTACAACAATTCTTTTTTATTATTAGAAACAATATGTAAATCTTGTGTTACTCTTCTTTTTTTAAAAGAAATAATATATATTTACATATATATAAATAATGTCTATTATTTATAAAACAATGATTTTCGCCCTGAGAAATTTTTAACGTTTACCAAAAAAAAAAAAAGACATGAGATAATTAATGTTGAAAATATTATCTGTTATTACTATTACAGTTATACACATCTAGATGTGTATAAGAGACAGGCCCAATGTACTAATAATAAATATATTAGAAAAACCTCCTCTATAGTCACAACATATGACTTTTTTTATAATCACACCCTTTTTTTTCGGTCCCAAGGGGTGTGACTATAAAGGGGGCTGACTGTACTTATTACAATCGTTTTCTTACAGATCCCCATAATCGTAAATCATAATAAAATCTTCGATCTCTATTATTTAATTTAACTCGTAGAGCTATATATAGTGAGTCCTCTTGTGATTATTCTATATTTAGTTTTTTCTGTCCTTTCTTCTATTTTTACTATGAATATGTATAAAAAAGATAACAATATCCGGATAATTATCGGAATTAATATTATGCCATATGAGATAAAAAAGATTTAAATACAATCATTCGAATTAAAATAATTTGACAGATTTTTTTACTGAATTATCTGAATTGAAATAGTTATAAAATAATTGACTGATTTGAATCATCCTTGTCCTCCTCTTCTCGTCTCAGTATTAACTTTTCAATATCGGTATCTTCATCTTTATTCTCACCACTCTCAAACATTACTCCTCCTCATCAATAAACATGAGTCAACTTAATGAAGATTGTTTTTATGAAATCTTTAAAAATTTAGATGGTAATTCCCTATATTCATGTTTACTCGTTTCTCACTTGTGGTGTTCAATTTCTGTAAGACTTTTGTGGAGGAATAGATTGGATTATAAAACATTACTATCTTGTCTTCCAAATGAATCAATGGATATTTTGCGTGCTAATAATATTTTAGTCCCAACTTTAATAACTCCCTTCATTAATTATGCATCATTCTGCAAAAAATTCTTACTTGATGAATTTTTCCATTCTGGTATTAAAAAAATTTTTAATAATGAATTGAATGATGAAAAGTTACGTATTGTATCAAATGAGATATTAAAATTACTTGTGAACCAAGCATCCTTAAAAGAATTATATGTATACGATATAAGATACTCCAGTTACTTGGATTCATTAGTTAGGGTAAACACTTTCTTACAAGTCCTTGAAGAATTTTATTGCCATTCAGGTCTTCCTTCATATTTCTATAACCAACTATCATGTCGCAAAATACGAGTTTTGGATGTGATATTAGATGTTTCTACTTCAGATAGCCTGGCTGACTTTATTTCTGCTCAAAAGAATTTGGAAAAACTAAATGTTTGGCAATTCGAAAAATTAGAAAATGAAAACAGAATTTTCAGTAGTATTCCTCATTCAATTATTAATTTAACTATTTCTGGAATTAATATTGATAATTTGTATTCACTTTTGAACAATTTTAATGAATTGAAAAAACTTAATTTATCACTTATGAGTGAAAGTAATTATAATAAATTTGATGATCTGAATTTATCAAAATTAGAAGTATTGATATTTAGTAATGATGTTATTCAACCAACAAATAATACATTAATTAGATTTTTAGATACCCATGGAACTAATATAAAAATATTTTCTATTAAAAATAGTGATAATTTATTAAATAATTATATTGCTCGATCATGTCAAAATATTAAAGAAATCTATACCGGACTAGATAGTCATACTAATCTAGAAATATTTGAAATGTTTATTAAAGAATTACAATATTTGGAAAGTATTAAAATTAATATTTCTGGAAATTCAAATGAAAGAGAAATATTTGAAATTATCAAAGATTGTTCACAAGAAAATTTTTATAAAATTGAATTGAAGTATTTAGATAATGCAATATCAACATTACTTCCAGCTGACTTAAGTACTTTCATTTTAGGTTGGAAAGAAAGGAAATCGCACAAACTTTCCATTATCTTTGATAATACAACTTTGAGTAGTGAAAATATGGATGTACTTAATGAATATACCAATTTAGGCATTATTAATTATATAGTAAAAAAACCAAGATCTTTATTATAGTTATTTATTAGTCATTGTAATCCATTTTTTTCTTTTGAAGCAAATAATATATGAAAAAAAGAAGCAATAATAGTTCTTTTTTATTATTAAAATAAAAATGTATATATATATAAATAAAAATTTTTACTTATTTGTAATTATCACATTGAATTACTGTTATAAATGCCTTTGAATTATATACAGTATAATATAACTTAAAACACAATAATAATTTTTTTCTTCTAAAATGTATAACTTTTAAGTATTGAAAAAAATTTAGTAAAGAAAAATTTATTCCTATACAATTATTTAATATCTGTTTGATAATTGATCTAATACAATACCATCGTATTTATACAAATTATCTATAGGTTTTTTAACTAACTTAATAGTACCTAATTCAGTATACTTTTCAATTACCTTCATATTTCCATCATTCTCAATAAAAGTATGATAGCCAGTAATAACCAAAGAAAGTGGTTTCTGTGGTACACGACTTTTCCAACTTTCTAAAAGTAATTCTAATTCTTCTGGAACTAATGATGTTTTTGCTTTTTCATTATAATAATATAATTTTAGTTCATGAAAGTTTTTAGTCGTATATTTGACAACATACTCAAATAAGAATTTCTCATTGAATTTAAATCGTGATAACAAATTCTAATACTTTCTAAAAATGGAAAGGCTTTAAAAAAATTACGCAATACGCCTAAATCATTATTTGTAAGGTTTGTTTTAAGAATTCTAATACTTTTACAATATATACATATACTCCTCTTATTTCTTCCATTATTTTCCAAGAATTCATTTAATCTATTCGTACTAAGATAGTTATTTAAGTTAGTAAATGCTTTTTCATAACATTCACGATCGTTAGAATTTTTAAATCGGTCGAAAACAAGGTCATAATTAAATATCCAAAGATCATAATTATTACAATATAATTTGAGTTCTTGTAAATTTGAGAGATTAGTATTAAGTATAAACTAATAAAAAATTTAAATTTTTATTTATCCCATGATAAGTAAAATTGATCAAAGTATTAGGAATTCTTGTTAGCAAATCATTTAAATTGTCTACCTCGTATCGTAACTGTAACATGTACAAGTTCTTTAGATTTTTCTGAACAGAAATTAAATCTATTAATTCTTTTGAAATATCTACTGTTGTCAAACTTATTTTTAATGTTTGTATAGTATGACATATTTGAGATAACCGATAAAAAAAATTCAGGATAAGTATCTGAGTAACAGTAGAATTCTGAGATTATTTAACATCCTATCTCTTAATTCGGTGAGAATCTTCATAATGTTCTCAGGTGAAAATTTAGGAGTCTTCAAAGGTGGAACTTTTGTATTTCCATATCTAAAAGGTTTCATATGTCTAAAAGAAAACTTCATATCTTTGTTCTCAGGTATAAATTCTGTAATAATTAATTTTCTCAAAGAAATTATTTGACTCATAAGAAATCTAAATATTTCCTGTGTTATGTTATCTTTTGAACTTTGAATTGAAAAAAATTGTTGTTTTTTAAGAAGTCGTTCAATATTAATATCGATCTCATGAAATGATACAGATTTACAAAATGTTACATAATTAAATAATAGAGGTTTTGAAGTTAAGATTGAAATTCCATTTTCAAATAAAATCTTCTTTGATTTATTTGGAAGGCAAATAATTAATGTACGATAATTTCTGATACTTCTCCATAGAATCCTGACAGAAACTGCACTCCAAAGATGATTGACTAATAAGCATGAATACAAAGTATTTTTATTATTATCTAAATATTCAAAAATTTCGTTGAGGCAATCAGCATGAAGTTGTGACATTTTGAACCTTTTAATTAAGTAGTATAACGAAAGCGAGTAGTGAATTTGGCATGATATATATATATTTTTGACATGATATATTCTTGATTTGTTGTAAACTGACTATAAACTGATGTTTAAACAAAATTATTAGTTATAATTACGGTATCAATCAGCATTTTAAATAATTATAATACATGGTTTTAAATTTTATTATTATTTAATTTCTTATAAGTAAAAATAAATAATTGCGAATTGCGACATTATATTTTAGATGTATGGCATCTATACTCCAACTAGTTATAACTGTACTTCTAATATCCCGTTGCTCCGACTAGTTTAATTTACTTCTAATTAATTGTTACATCAATTAATAATGATCACATTCTAATAAATAATTATTCTCAAACTTTTAATTATTAAAATACAAAATTCAATTATTAATTTATAATCGGTTTGTGCTTATTGTATCTGTGTCATATGACGGTACTTTTAGACTCTTACAAATTATTAGTCATAACGGTATTAACTGTTAATCTAATTTATTGTTCAAAATAATCTGATCATGTGTTATTAACGAATTCCTTCAGGTTACACAATCAATTTAAGAGTATTTTTATAAAAGTTTAGTTTTCGATTTTTTGACTTCAATTATATTTAGCTTTATTCCAATCATAAATATAACTATTTGGCCATATAACAGTCGAAGATTTTTTATTGGCAATAATATCTGAATTTGTTATAAGGTATCTATTTATGTCATATTTTATGAAACAAATATCCAAATTACAATATAAAATATACTGCTTGGAAAGCACATCATATTTAAGAATTTAAAAAAAGTATGATAATTTCTAGAGAAAGTTCAAAATTTTAAACATAACTGGTTTAAAGACTTGAAGGTTGGCGTGCATTCCGTGCAATCATTTTAATATCTTTTTTTTTTTAAGTAATATTAAAATTTTGTATATAGTATTGGAGTCCTTTATGTGGATATCAACTGCTGAAGGCACAAATTATTATAAGTTTAACTTTAGATATATTAAACGGAAAGAGAGAACAAGTTACTCATGGATCTCCTATTGAGTATTATAATTTACAAGGTAATTAACGAGTTTAAATTTTTTTATATTAATATAATGATGTTGGAAATCTGAACCAAGTGAACGTCCAAATATTAAATATGTTATTTCTATTTTAAAAGAACAAGTTTCTTAAAACATCATCATGAGAAAATACAACAAAATTCAAAATTAAATAAAAACATCATGAAAAATGACGATTTAATTATAAGAAATATTACATCAAACCCTAATTTACTCAATTTAACAGAATTATCAACAGATATATTGATTTAGTATCTCATAAGTTCCTAATCTCATGCATACGAGATATTTCATTTAGACTAAAATGATGTGACATAAAAAAATGATGAATTCCATTAAAAATTACGTAATGATAAAATAATGACTATCAAAATATATTTCTTGAAATCATTTTCCTCCAAATTAAACATTTTTTGGAACTAATGAAAAGAAGAATTAGTGATATGATTCACAAATATCGAAATATTGAGTAAAAAATAGTTTTAAAACCTTGATAAAAGAATTAAAAAATATCAGAGTAAATTACCTAGTATTTGTCTCGGGTTGTTTAAGAGTTCAATGATTCTATTAACCTTTGCATTATGTAATAAACTTTCATCATACAACTTGTAATGTACATTATTTTTAATTCATACATTACAAGTTCAACTCAATCAGTTATGGTAAGCGGGGTTAATTCATCTTTGTTGAAAGTACATAAAAGTTCATTTAATAGGTATTGATAAGGTTCAATTTGATGAGATGACCACCACCCTTCACAATTATTAATACACGTTACTCTATAGTCATGTTGTAAACGAAGTTCTGAAACAAGATAATACAAGCTGTAAGACTTTCCCAAACCGGAAGGTCCATAAATATGTAGACCTCTAGAACTATTTTCTTCATTGAGTGCTTTCATTATAGCATTATAGATTTGATCACGATGATTTCTACGTATTAAAGGTAATTTACCATTCACAAAATGGAAACTATCTTGAAATTTATTTGGACTCAACCTTGGTAGATCGACATCATCATAAAGATCTTGCCATAATTTCAAGAAGTTTTTTATCTGTTTCTCTTTGTTGAACAAGTGCAACAAATGGTTCTAATTGATCTTCAAGTTCATTAACCTTCACTTTTTTTCTACTAGGATATATGATGGGTACAATTGACATCATGAAGGTTCTTTCTTTACCTTTTGTACTTGAAGAAGAAGAAGAAGAAGAAGAACTTTAGCTATTTTTTTTTTAATCATAAAAAGTCAGAATTGATTTTTCATAATGCATCAATGTTTTTTCAAAATCACCAAATGATGGTCCTGCTAAAGAAGGTTGCTTTTTTCTCTCCGTTATTTATCCAGAGAATTCTTCCATATTTTCAACCTCTCTTTTATGTGCGCCACTTGATTTTACACCACCCACAACATCAATGATATCTTAAAATACGTTAAATACATATTTTAAAAAATAATATTTTTCCAATATTTAAATAACAAATCCTTTGAAATATTTTGAGGTATAAATTATGACTTACTTCATCAATTGTTTAAACCATCATTTTTTAAAAAAAAATTACGTACGTCACTGAAACAAATTATTTTAAATGAGGTAACAAGTTTCTTTATTTAGAAATGTTTCTTTACCTAATACACTTTAGTCTTGTATATGTAAATCCTCATCATTAACTATTTTTGAATTAATCTGGGAAAGAAAAAAATGATCGGCACACTAAATTGTTGAGAACTTTTATTTACAAAGTAGGAAAACCCTCTTTAGGTGGGTAACGAAACTCCATTATTGTTGCGATTTTTTCTCTTTTTTACCCTCACCATTTTTTTCCAGCATTCTATATGAAAACAATGGGCATAGATCATACGTCTACAAAATATACAATGTGAGTGTTAGGACTATATACGAATCCAATCTTTGTGGAACCTATAAATAGTCCAAATCTTAAACTCGTTTTCATCAAAGTAATGTGTTCCAGGCCATAGTGTAAAAGAATTGAATTATGAAAGAAAGGTAGAAAATCCTATCGGGGGTTATATAGAGTAGAACGCGTCGCGTCGCGTTCTTTTATTAACTGATTGTACTAATAATACACACATAAGTATTATTTATTTCATGGGGAATTGGGAAAAATAGGGTTTTTTCCCGAAGGGAAAAAAACCCTAATGTTCCCCTTCTTAACTATTTTAAACTAAAATTAGTAATCTCTCGGTTAGTAACTCATCATGTGAAGAAAATGTCACCCCTAGTATATGAAAATTTATTGTCGCATTTCTATGGCTTGTATAAAATTCATGTGATTCTATATGATAAGTAAACGAATATTCCAGGTCATTTATAAACTCAGAGAATTAGTATGAAGGTGATAATGAGTGACACTTAGTGCGACAGGGGTAATAAACTTATAATATATACAGTATGTACTGCTGTATTACCGTGCCTGACAAATATATAGTTCAGTACAAAAAATCGTTATATGTATGATTTTTGAATAAATTTACATGTTAGGTAGTTGTAAAGTTTGGAACGTGCGGATATGATTTTAATTATCCGGGTCTTATGAGACAGATAAACTTTTTTTATTTTTTTCACTCGAATAAATATATATTTCCGCAACAATAATATATTAAATGTCTGAAAAGAATGAATGGCTTAACTGGATTGTAGAAGCCATTTCTAAAAGGCACATTGACCATTATGAGTATAAACATTTTAAAAATATTGAAGAAATTTGTACTGATGCTTTCAGAAGAGTTTACCGTGCGAAATGAAAACAATATTTTGCGTTAAAATCTCTTCGGGAAGTATATCAAATCGAATCACGTGATTGAAAGTTACCATTAAAGAGTTTTCTTTTCTAGATTGAAATCCAACGTAAAGTTACTTTCATAAATAACAAGAAACTTGATGACCTAACTGTGTGATGTAATTACTCATCGGTCATGAATAAAAGTTACTCACGCGTAATGTAACACATAATCTTGATGTGAGTTTCATCATGACTCATAATAAGTAAATGAGTATAATATAAATATATCTCATTACCTTTAATTTTTTTTATCTTTTTTTTTTCGTCTTTACCTTTTCTCTGTCTAGGTCTTCTCTTTATTAGGTCTTCTCTTAGGCCCCTTTTCTTTACGTCTTCCTTTAGGTATGTGGGCTGGGAGTGTGGGTTTGTGTGTATGTTTGTGTATTTCCTCCCTTTTCGTATTTTCGTTTTCCCCTTCCCTTCGTTCTCCCTTTTTCCCGTCGTTCTCCCCTTTCCCTTTCGTGTTCCCCTTTCCCTTTCGTTTCCTTTCCCTTTCGTATTCCCTTTTTCTTTCGTATTTCCCTTTCCCTTTCGTATTCCCTTTCCTTAGGTTGCGAAATTGAAATATTAATAGACAACCTAGATGACAAGTCAAGGGCGGCGCAAAAGGTACTTTCAATAAAAAGTGAATTAAAGGTTAGTATTTTTCACGAAATGTAAAAATATTAATGAGTGTAATGAGTGTGCTACGCCTTGGGACAGCGATCCTGGGGAAGAAGAGCGTACCAGACTGCTGAAATGCTTTCACCTTCGCTACGTGCACAACTTGGGCTACGCCTTGGGATGCGTTCCTGGGGAAGAAGAGCGTATCGGACTGCTGAAATTCTTTCACCTTCGCTACGTGCACAACTTGTGCTACGCCTTGGGATGCGTTCCTGGGGAAGAAGAGCGTATCGGACTGCTGAAATGCTTTCACCTTCGCTACGTGCACGGAATCTCTTGGTTAAGGTCTGCCGATTCCGGAGGAGGAATCGGTTATTACTTTCCTTTATTAACGCACTGCTATTCTTACAACAGGTAAAGCGAAATCTCATTGAAGATGGGGAGAAGGAAAACGTAAAACGTCCCTGAACTACTATTACACTTATCTGTTTCGTTCAGGGAAATGCGTCCACAAATACTTTCCCCATTGACATTGATGGTAGTAAGCTGGTTGGCCATCTTAAAAAAGCCATCAAGATGGAAAAACAAATTGATTTCGCTGATGTTGACGCAGACAAGCTCAGGCTTTGGAAAGTGGAAATTCCTGACGATCATGACGATCAGTTGAGAAGTCTTTCACTCCAGAATAAAGATGAAGTCCTCGCAACAAAAAAGATTTCTAAGTATTTTCCAGTCACACCTATTAATGTTGCTCAACGTGGTGATCAGGTGACAACAAGTTTTTAAAAGACTTGGCTAAGTCAGCAACAAATAATAATTACATCTAAATTGATTTTTAAAAACATTTTTATATTTATATTAAAAAATTTTTTTTTCATTTATAATTTCATCTTACTGTAACTTGTGTTCAACATTTTCATAATCATTTCTTTCTATTATATGAATTAAATAAAATAAATTACGGTATACTTGCTCTTGGCCAGATATAGTAAGTAACAAGTGGAAAAAAATGGTGAGGGTAAAAAAAAGGAAAATCGCAGTTACTTACGTAGACAAACTTTAAGAAGCGAAATCAGAAGTGACCATCATCACGGTGAGTAGGTTTGGATGTTGAGACGAAGGTTACCTAGTCTCCGTTATTCCGTAGTTGCGATAAGGTGGTCATGAGCATAAGGGTGGCCGCGGTATACCACTTTAGTCACTACCGTATGTATGGTCACTACAAGTATACCATATAACCACCATCTGTATGATCACTTCATAGAAAACTATATGGTGCTGCAGAGTCACTTACCCACTTTAGCTTCGCAAAATGCTTGCTTAGGCTGGTCCTAACACTCACATTGTATATTTGTAGAAATATGATTTATGCCTATTGTTTTCATATAAAACGTTCGTGACAAGTGAAAAAAAATGGTAAGGTAAAAAAGAGGAAAAATCGCAACAAGATCAGAAGTGACCATCATCGCGGGTGAGTAGGTTTGGATGTTGAGACGAAGGTTACCTAGTCTCCGTTATTCCGTAGTTGCAATAAGGTGGTCATGAGCATAAGAGTGGCCGTACCTGAAGTTGATCTAGAAAAGTTTGAAGAAGTACGACCTTAATTGTATGTGGATGTTAAATAGTGGTCGCAAAGTGAAGGGGTCGTTTATATAAATTTTACGAGAAATTTGTATATAGAATGCCTGCATTTACCTATAATAAATGATGCTAACTTAAAACGTTAAATCATAATAAATGGACGATCTAGATTATTCAATTTTCTTTTGCATTTATCAGCAAGTTTCTATTACGATCATTCGAAACTTGAATTAACATTGAATTTATTAGTATACATACTACTGTATATTTTAATGAATTAAATGAAAAATTTATTATTTACTAATTGAATGCTCTATTACAAAGATAATTTACACTATTTGATAACACAATAACTAAAATATGAAATATCTAAAATGAATGAAATGAATGATGGAATGTTTCTCATATCCCTGTGATTATTCTATATTATAAATGAGCCCTCACAAGTTCTCTTTCGTTTCTACCCTTATCGTATCTTATATTGCTATATAATTTAATTCCCTTCGTTTCCATATCTTCACGTAATTTTTCATATGTATCCGAAGCGTATTGAATACTTAGATGAGATCTAGTACCAAATGGGAGTAACCAATCACCATCTCTATAAAGTAGATCTTTTCTTAAAAATTTTTGATCAGGATCAGATTCTAATGGAATAACTCTATCTCTAAGCATGAGAGTTGGGAGAAGGGTATTGCTCCGATCAAACATTAAATTTTTAAGGTGCCAAGAAGGCCCAAAATCTGGAGATAAGCGAGTACGATAAGTCTCAATATCATCACGCATTAATAAACCTCCAACTTGTACGATATTTTCTATCATCCACAAAGTAGTAGCTTTAGATATTCTTTCATTGCCTTTAAAGGTTAAAAATGTCCCTCCCCCTATTTCATTATGTACACCCGGAAACCAAGTCTCTTTGACGGTGACCGTACCAGAACTATTTGAAAGTATACGACAAGGTTCAAAGAAAGAGGTTCTTTCATGGACGGCTAAAGCTTGACATGCTACATCAACTATACTAGGTACAACTTGATCATAAAATTCCAAATATTCAAAACCTTCTCCAATTACATAAGCAGGTATACCATGAGCACCAACAGTGTCCCAAAGTCCGAGAAATTTTATAATTGGTTTTTCAGAATCGGGATAACTGAATGACTTTTTAAAATCATCCGATCCATTTCCTTCCGGATGATAAATCATATCTCTATTACGATAAATCTCATAAGCAAGATCAATACGTTTGTCAATTTGATCAGGTGTAGTATTTCGATCAAGTTTCAATATTCCACAATTTCGTATCATTCCGACAATACATCTTGCAGTGTAAGCGCCACGACTAAAGCCAAAAAGCCATATATCATCACCAGGATTATAATGATTAACTATATACTTGTAACCTTCTTTGATTTTAATATCAAGATTTCGAGCTATAGCTCCATCTATGATAAAATTCAAGGGAGATTCTCCAATTCCGATGCCGTCAATATACACAACGTGTTGTTGGTAATCTCTTTCAAGTAATTCTTTATATAATACAAAAATGTTAGTTCTGGATTTTGGATTATTCCAAGTACCATCACACAATACGACGATGTTTTTACTCATTTTTTTGTTTTCTTGAAAATTCGTTTTGAAGAGTTTAATAAAGATGAAAAGAAATATGAATTTTTTAAATAAAAATGAAATTGCAAATTCGCTGGATTAATTCAGGTCATATTTATAATTTTTTTTTTTTTTTTTTTTTANTAATAAAGATGAAATGAAATATGATTTTTTTTAAGTAAAATGAAATTGCAAATACACTGGATTAATTCAGGCCATATTTTTTTTTTTTTTTTTTTTTACAAAAAAAAGTGAATTATTTACGAATCGATTGAGATTCACATATATGGATTTCTATTCAACAAAAAAAGAGGCTTCATTTTGTTTATTCCGTTTTGGAAATTATCCTCAAAATTGAGTTAAATGAATTAAATAATCATGGATAAAAATAAGTTATGGAAATGATATTGTGCGACTGAGATACATTTTTAAAATTAGAAAACGACAATTTATCCTGTATTTTTAAAATTTTAAAAATAAATCTAAATTTCCCATCTAACCAAGATTAGAATACAATGATTGAAAATGGTAATATGCTTATCAATTATAAACAGTTACTATAAAAAAAAATATCTTTTCCGATTGGTGAATTAATTAGAGGCTTTGAAAAAAAGAAAAAACTTTATTTTGCACGGTTTCTTTATTTTGCACGGTTTATTCTAGAAATCTTTTTTTTAATCCGGTTTTAATATTATCATAATATAAAAAAAAAATATAATAAAATTATCGGATAGTCATAGAATTCGTGCGACGTAAACAAATAACAAATAGTCATTGATAATCATATGTCAAACGTATATTCTAAATATATTTTTTTTTTGCGCAGGACGCTACATGAAAAAGGCGTATTATGTGTTGTAATTGTTATAATAAATTCTTTCATATGCTTTATTCAAAATGTCAAAGATTGAATGTAAAATGGTAACATGGCACGTGGCGTGTCAAAGGGACTTTCGATATCATAATACTTATAACTACAAAAATCATTAAAAAACGTGAAATATTTAATCATAGTTCACCTAATCAGCGGTAAAGAATTTGGCAAAAACTTTCCTGTTGTAAATCTTTGTTATAATAATAGAATATTAGGTAACATAAACTATGCAAAATAATTTACACATGGAATTTTAAGATGTAAGAGAAAAGTGAATGAAATTAGGTAATACACAGATGACATTTTGTGCAACGTATAAGAAATATTGTTGCGTCATATCCGATCATTTTTTTGTAAACGAAAAAAGTCATCGATTATTTTATATAATGACAACATTAACGAAGGATGGCTTTTAACTGGAATTTACGTATATAGAAACTTTTTTTTATCGCTATAGAGGTATTAAATTATACATTAATATAATCAAATTAGCCCACAGTCGCCCTTCGAATTATTATACTGAATAATTTGAATAATTTGATTGGTAGAATCGGTATAATTAGGGGCATCATATGTTCACATGATCGAAAAAAATTTGTTACAATTTCCACAATAGAAATTAACATGTTAAAAACAATGAGCAATTTATAAAACCACGCATACTTTATTATATTTAACACTATTGAAAATTTATAGATAAATTTATATTCCGGTAGGTAGCAAGTTCGCAATGCAGATTGTGGTGCGTAACGTAAGGTAGTGAAAATTTCGCATAATTACATTATTCCCCTTAATAAGGCACGGAAAATAAGATGAAATTTTTTTTTTAAAAAAAAAAAATTTATAGGGGCTACGCATAAAATATGCAATCTCGAGCTTAAAAAATATTGTATAAATAAATTATTTATCAGTTACTTTTATAGCAGCACATTTAAAAATTAGTGCTTTTACTCTTTATTACAATAAAATGAAATAGGCTCAAATACACATACGCTGAAAAAAACTAATGTTGTTATGAATATTAAAGTTGTTTTAATAATATTTGAGCGGTTTCATACCTGCTGAGCAACTTTACTTAAATCGAAGTTGGCCATGTACTACAAATTTCTATGTAAATTTTGGATATTCTTGGAAACTTGTCCCGTTTTCACCTCATTTTTGATAATAGAAACTTCATTTATATGTTGTTTACATTTGTATCACACCAAAAAAAATAAAATGAAATGAAATCTTACTTATTGACTATTGTAAGTGTATTTTTTTGCATAAATTAAACAATGAATTCCTTAAATACAATATTACTTCTACTTAAAGTTAAAGCGACAATAAAAGTCTATAATCATATAAATTTTTTAAATTCAAGTGCTTTCCTTTCATTTTTGCAAATTCCTTTTACATAATTCATAAAATTTACATAATATATATAGCACAAATTTATTGTCAGTCATCTTTATAATAATTTTATTTAGATTATTTACTATTAATACTTAATTACTTTTATTAGCTTCCTCATTATACAATTCAAATTCCCTTTCTTTATTATTTTTCAGTTGCCACTTATATAGTAATGTCCGATATAAATTTTGAAGGTCACATAAAATAATTAGTATAAATAGAAATCATTCATGTTTTATTTGGAAATAGTTCACAAAAAATTTAAAACCGAAAAATGGTTAACAAATTAAATTATTATAAAACGCAAGTTTCTTTCAAAACCTTTAAATTATATTATATTTCATCACATGACAAATTTATTCTACTACCTTATTAATAGTTATCATCCGCGATCAAAAAATTAAAAAAAGTTATTTCTGTGATAAAATTGATTTTTTTTTTTATAATAATTAAAACTAAAATGTAATCACGTACGTGTAAATATTAAAGAATTTCTCTCAAAAAACTCGCAAAAAATCAACTGTAGCACAAAATATTACATACTATTAAATCATTATAGTCCGAAGTGTAACGAAGGACTATGTACTTCTACGTACAACAATAAGACCTTAAACAGCACTTTGGACTTAATAACGATTTCCGTTTCCTAGTAATATATATCAAACACTTTTTCAATTAATATATAATTTGGCCATATTAACATCATATTTGAAAAATTATTGCCCCTAAATCGATTTAATGTAATAATAATAAAATTAATAAAGGTTATTATAATAATTGTGCTTAAAGTAGATGTTTTTGAAGGTGAAACAGAATCTTAAATTGATTTATACCATACTCTGAAAAATTTTCATAATTAAATTAAGATACAAGTATAGAAATTTTAAAATTTATAATAAGTAGCAAAATTAAATATTTTATCACATAAAAGTACAAAAAATCGGAAACTGAGATAAGTATTCTCTTACAAATGTAATCCGCTCTCATATATAATAATAAATCATATAAATAAATAACTAATGTTTCTAAATTCCATACCACTGTTAATAAATAATGGTCCTTATAAACGAATAATACAATTGAATTGTCTACGCGTTTATATCCTTAATTACTCCTTCAATCTTATATTTATCGAACAGTTTCATATATGAGTTATCTTTTCGATAAAAATAAGTGTTATCAAAATATAAGGAAACTGCAGGTCGTCCTTTCCACTTTTCAAAGAATTTTTCTAAAGTTTCCAAAGAAAACTCAATGTCAAAGTAAGGAATTCCAATATTTATTAGATTTGTTGATGCTTCTCTAATTAACACATTTGACAAATAATCTCCAAATTCTAACGCTTCCCCTTTTTCATAACATGCGTCTTTAAAATTTAATGATCGCAAATTTTGACATTTTTTAAGTAATCTTTCAAATTCAATAAAATGATTCTCCAATAATGGAAATACAGGAATTGATAAATATTCAATTAAAAAACAATTGTCACAAATTGTATTAATAAAATTAAGAGAGCCATCAATAATATTATCATTCCAGTGAAAATCATTGATCCTTAATTCTTTAAGATATAAGCTATTTTTTATTATGCAAGTAACTTGGTAAATATCTATAACATCTATCTCTATAATCTCAAGGTCACGATAAGTCACCATTTCCAATTTTTCATTAAAATCGTCAATATCCAAAAATCGAGGAGAATTAATTTCTAATATTTTTAAATTTTGAAGTTCTAGGAGTGCATATTGTAGAAATGTATAATCATAATTAGTAGAATAATTATAATCAAAATAAAGGCTTATTTCAAAATGAATAAGAGTATTTGCATGGTTTTTTAATATGTCAAAAATTTCTGTATAAGGATCTTCCAATTTTTCCCAATCAAAATAATCATAATCTTCTGTAAATTCTGTAAAGTCATCTACCCACTCAAAATATTTTAAATTTTTTTGAAATTCGATTAACTTAATAGTTCCATGATTAGCATTTAAGTTATTATTAATTATGACGATTCCTTGTATTTGTTGACAGATATGTGCTAATCTGTAAAAGTACCTAGGATCGATCAATGTATCACATGTTAATTCACAAAGTGATTCAAGACGGGCCTTTGCTTCCGGAGAGTATACTATCTCATAGGTACCAAGAATATTTAAATAATTTATTTCTGGACATTTCTTTATCAAGAAACTATAAATTTCCTCTTGTAAAAGAAATCGATTATATTCTGATGATGATCCAATGGAAATTATATCATCTATAATTTTTATATTGATACTTCTACAGAAAGACAAATAATCAAATGCAAGTGATTGACCTGAAATTTTAATCCCTTTCTTCGATAAGAATTCTTTAATATCATTGGATAAATAAGAAGTAATAATAGAATATAAAGAATTTTTTTTACAATAATTAATAGCATAGTAGCGCCAGGGGTTCCTCCATAAAATTGGAATCACTGTTTCACACCAAATTCTATTAACCATTAAGCATGAAAAGAGATATTTTGAATTATCTTGTAATTCCTCAAATATCAAGAAAAGAATATCTTTATTAAGTTTGGACATTTTTTTTTTTTTTTGAATAAATAAAATAAAATAAAATAATAAAAAAAGAAGTACGTNAAAGAAGTACGTTTTAGTCGTTTTATATAAAACTTCGACGTATGACCATAAATGTTTCATCGGAATATATATGGTAAATGCAGGGTCAGAAAAACAGTTACACGGTTTAA